ATGCATCAAAGTATGCGGGTTCACATATGCAGAAAACGTAATACTTCAAGTCGAAGGATAGTTACACCCGTGGTCGCGCTAAAGATATTTAGAGCATGAACTAAAAGTTCAAGCAACATCTTTAGGATGGGTCAGTCCGGCATCCTATTATCTCTAGATAATATCTGCCCATGTGCGGATGCGAACACACCGTCATTGACTATGAGACTAAGTCAAAACATCCAACACACACTAGTCTCACATGCATTAACGATATCCCACTCTCGTTAATACTCGATTATGGACATTCAGATAAATATTTATTTCAAGATGTTAGTCTCATCAGCAGAATAACACTATCTGACAAACATCTTTAAATATAAATCTAGGAATATAATATTTGTTTACATTAGCATGAGATGTGTAAACATATTATATCTGCCTATACATGATAGAATAATGATAAACAGTTGGCCATCAGGGCACAACTCCAAGAGTTTGAGCCTGAAGGTCGTCTGGGAGGCCACGGAGAACTTGGAGAATGAGTTGTTGTTCGGAGACGGAGGCGTCCACATCATCCAACTAATCCGCGAGGTTGCGAAGGGTTTGGCAAAAGGCGGGCATAGAGAGAGAACCCTTCGTGGTGGTGCGGAATTGGTGCTCTAGTTGCATCGCCCGAGCCGCTTTGTTATCGTGGAAGAGATTGTAGATGGATTTCCATAGTTCTGAGGCCGAATTTGTGGTGGAGAGCACGAGATCGCAAATTTCATCATTCACCATGGATAAGATCCAACCTTGAATAAGGGCGTCTAGTTGAAACCATTCGGCGTCGTCGGCACTTGACGAGGACGACTTTCCAGTGAGGAAGTCGCCAAGGGAGAAGCGGCGGATGATGAGGAGAAAGAGCCGGCTCCACTTCTTATAATTTGGCTCGGAAAAACTCAGAAGGATCGGCACATGAAGCTTGACGTTTAAAATAGTCGTGAACGCCAAGTGGGGAGTCAGCGTGGATGATGACGTACTGGTGACGGAGGTTTTCTCAGATATGGTGGCGTGTTGGAGAAGGCCTGCCGAGAGAGAGAGAAGATAGTTGTGTGAGAGAGAGAGCCTGCCGGGGAGGAGACGTCGCTGCTGGGGTTGCCAGCGTCGCTGGGTGGTGTTCGGCCGAGAGAGGAAGAAGGGGCGGCGCTGCTAGGGTTGACAGCGGCGCTAGGTCGAACGAGGGAGAGAGAGGAGCGCTGGCTCTGATACCATGAAGAATAATTAATTTCTACAAATGATAACGGAGGACTAAGCCTCGTATAAATAGTACAAAGGAATCCTAACTACGGAAGGAAACCTATACATGGAAATTACCATATAAACAATGATTACATCATTAATATTAAATATATACATACTATATTTAACACTATCAAATCTTACTTTTACTCATCACATCAAAACACTTCTTTTGGAAATTCAATACCAAAATACACTTTTTTTTAAATTTCTTAAAAATCAATAACTCCCATGTTTTTAGGACCGGAGGGAGTACTTATATGAAATATACTTTGACATGGAAACCAAATCAGTGAAAATCATGGCCTTTTTTGGAGTACAATGTCAACGAGGGTGTTTTATTATATGTACAACATATTATCGTGATGGGCATTGATGGAGCTCGAAGCTCCATCAAAGATGAAAAGATGAACAGTAATCAAGAGAATATCCCTTCTTTTAAGATTTGCGCCCCTTATGTAGTAAAATAAGAGCTAAGGGTTAGAATTCCTTAGTGGTTTCTCTCACGGACCAACCCATATTCTTCTATTACGCCCAACAAATATTATTCTCCATCAAGCCTCCCAGTTTCTTAGTGAACACGAAGTGTTGACTGAGAAACTATATATAATTTTTTGTCATCTCTATGATTTCTTCAATTGGCAATCTCTTTGCTCCGGCATCCCTTGAAGCTTATGCTAGTGTAGGCTCGGGATATGGAGCCCAAAACATGACTTTTTAAGTTTCTCTTCTTTGAGTACCTATAAAAAAGTTAGAAACGTTACACTTGCCTCGGCGAGCATCTACAGAGTCCATGCATGGCTCGTAGTGTTTCAAGGAGAGGACTTTTTGGGAATCAGAATTGAAGGACTCATGTAGCTCGACGGAGACTTTTTGGGAGAGGACTTAGGAACCTTAGAAGACGAGGCTAGGGTTTTGCTTGCCTTGCAAAATTGTTTATGACCAACCTCGAGAGGGGACTTATGAAACTCAGGAGCCGAGGGATTTGGTTGCCTCACAAAGTGGTTTCGGACCGACATCATGAGAGGACTTAGGTGCCTCGAGGGGTGAGGGCTTAGTTGAATCTTTGCAAGGTGGTTTAAGACTGACCTCGGGAGATAACTTTTGAGCATCGTGGGACGAGGGCTTGATTGATGCATCGCGAGGTTGTTTAGGGTCGACCTCGGGAGACAACTTTTGAGCCTCGTGGGTAGTGGCGGATCCAGAAAAAAATATGACTGGGGGCAAACGCTAAATAAATTTAATTTCAAACAAGTATTCAAATAAGAAAAAAAGTATTTTTTAAAGTATAAAATATATCATAACATAATATAATAATGACATTTCAAATATTTTACCTGTATATCTTTTTAAGTGATTATTCTTTGATTTTAAACTAAGATTTTCTTTTGTCAATGAGGGCTGATTAATTTTTTACCAGGGTCATTCTTTTAATTTTCTAAAATTTTTTTAACATTGTATATTACGGAGTAAGAAAGGTTGACTGGGGGCGACTGCCCCCGTATTAATACATGTAGATTTGCCCCTGCTCGTGGGACGAGGGCTTGATTGAAGCCTCGTGATGTGGTTTAAGGCCGACCTTGGGAGAGGACTTAAGTGCCTCGTGGGAAGAGGGATTGATTGAAGCCTCGAGAGGTGGTTTAGGATTGACCTCGGGAGAGGACTTTGATGAATATCTCTTAGGCAGGCTGTATTTGTGAGGGTTTGGTTGGGTGCCACTTTTGTTGGCTTAGATAGGCTTTGCCTATTCTTTTATTTGTTGACGCACCTACTCATCCCGGGGTGCGAACTCGTAGGACTTAGCCAATTTAAGCGTTTCCGTTGTGATGTTCACAAGGTCCACGTTTGGCGTCATCATAGAGCTTTGAGTTATTGTGGCTTTTCTTACCACTTTAAGAAGTGGTTAACCTTCCTCTCAATTCGGAGGTCAAACGTCGAACTCTAATACTACCTCCGTATCAGAGTATTTGTCCACTTTCATTTTACACACCATCCAATACACTTCTTTAATCCATTTTATCTTGTAATTTGTATATTAAAAAATTATAGAAATTATATATTAATAATCTATATGTGAAGACAAATCAAAAAAGATCACACATGACTATATTTAGGCTTACACATTGAGAGAATTTGATGAGTCAAAGTGCTTAGATGA